CCTCCATAAGATTTCAAGATTTGGGCTGCCAGATGTCAAGAGTTTAAATCCCAATCAGTCGTGATTCAGTCGTAACCACTATCGTGCAGCCCTAATAACCTATAGTTTAAAACCAGAGTCATTTTGGCCAGAGAGACTAACAAATGAGGATAGTGCAACTTTTTAGTAGTTATATCTAATTAGGGCTGGGTATCGAGTTCGATACTTTTTAGGCACCGACTGAATTGCCTCGATACCATCGAGTATCAAAAAAACGTCTTGTTGTTCGGTACCAAATTTCGATACCTAAGGGGTTAATGGGACGGAAACATGTCACATGTCTTGAAACAAATAATCTGAACAATGTCTTGACGTGTGGTTGGGACTCCAGGCCGTTAAAATTATTAGAGAAATAATGCACTCCCGGAGGTGGTTATGTGGCCACGACTATATGGTATGGTCTTTCTCAGTTCTCAAACAAATTAAGAACTATTCGATTTTTATTGACTGAACGCAAGCGCTTATTCCGATAGAAAACACTGTATCTTTCTACTTAGCCACTTAAGCTCGTGGGCGTTTTTTGGAATTTTCGCCTAAATTTTTCATACTCAAATTCAAATGTTTGCCCTACACACATACAATGGAGGAAATTAAAAAAAATGGTTTCATTGTAAATAAAACCCTTTGAACTACAAAATATGAGTGGAATTCTTTATAAATAACATTATATACTTTTCAGCTATTACTATAAACACAAAAAAACATAGGCGCTTTTTGAGTTTTAATTCAATATATATTTTTTGAAATTCTGTAATTCAGGTTCTATTAGGCTCAACTCTCTGCAATTTACTTTGTTTGATGCCACTATATGCCAAAAAGTACCAGAAAAAAGAATCTTTCAAATAACAGCTTCTAAACAGGAGTTAGAACAGTATTTGTGAAGCGATTGAAAATGTGCGATTGAAATTCTGCATCGAAATGTGTCATGGTGAGTTTCCCTTGCAAAAACAGGCTTTATAAAACACATTAACCCCACAACCCCACAATACTCTGTGCCATAAGCACTTTAATTGATTATTTATTGAATTATGTTTCATTTTTATGTTTTTCTAAGTAGTAATATACAAAATGGCACAAGCGAATTGGACCAAACTTGTCATATTGTGATCTCTAC